ATGAAGTGTTGTATATTCAGTGCACACTTGCGTGCATGTATCCTGTGTTACTAGGATGAAGCAGTTGATCTGTTTGTGGTTGACAAAATACAGCTTTCAAAGAATGCACATACCCACATACAAAAACACACACATTCACAAAAAGACATCAAAGGCGATTTCAACTGATTAAATCCTTCCTAATTTTCTAAGTTTCCGTCCGCTGTCTAGTTTAGTTACAAATAAGTTTTTAGCCTGAAAAATTAATCTATGATATAATGAACAGTTAGCGCACATGTTCAACAAATCACTCTTGTAACTACCCTAAATTAAGCTTGCACCACATCAGAAATGTGCAAAACAAATACTATATATTCTGATAAAAGTAAAACCAGCAAAATTATTTAAAAAAAAAAAAAAAAAAAAAAACTGAGTGAAGACGGCCCAAAAAAAAAAAACTTACAAAAAAAAAAAAAAAATACTCCAACAGTGATAATGACAGAATTGTTTTGGGGCTGACTATATGTCTATTTTACAGATAATGAGAGGCTCTGTATATCCCAAGCATGAAGTGATTAAAAACTTTCTTGAAAACCATTGCCCTCTGCTCTATCGTCTGATTTGCTGTGGATAAGTAACAGTTTGTAAACATTATTCAACAGGTAAGTAATTCAACAAGATACATTTTTACTCATGTTTGCTTAGAGAAGCAACATAGACATTTATAAATCATTACTAATTACTGGTATCAAAAGGGCTAATAGACTGCAGTGGTTGGGGCATATAGAGAGAATGGCAGATAATAGAAAGGTAAAAACTGTATAAATAAGAGTTGAAAGTTGAATTAAGAATCGACATAGCACTTGGGACCCTCCCATCTTCAGCAGTAAGCAAAGAGTTCCTGTTCCAATGGCACCAGTAACTGTCTGATTGTAAATCCATCTTATCTTTCCCTTGAGTGTTGAGCGATGGCCAGATCCTCTGGTAACTCCTCGCAGCGCCATCCATTCACTAAGCGACATCCATTCGCTTTTGCTATAAACCCCTATGCACTTCGTTTACCTTTCAACACAAAGCTATTTGTATAAATAATCATATCACCTGGGTGGGAATTATTATGAATCATTTGTTGAACTTCTGATTCTAGAGCACCATCTGGCCAGTCCCTGCACTCATTCCTAAAGTGATTAGAACCCTATATATGTCAGATTCTTGCTAGGACAATTTGACCCACTCCTCTCCTCGCCCAAATTTATCAAGCCTGCACACATGTCTGATTGCGTCTTCACCTTGCTCCATCCAAGACCCTCCTCTTTACAGTCTGTGACCCTTAGTTCTACCTAGGGATTCATACAGGAGGTGCTTCTTGTCTGCAGCTACTCTGAGAAATGAGTTTGCTTGCAGAACTTTGAGCCTATCTGCAATAGTAGGCAGTTCAAGTATATATAGTACACATACTACTGGAGTGTCTCTTGTACATCCCAGAATTACCTGCATGGTTTCGTTCTGTATGCGTTCAAGTTTCATCAGCTGACTCTTTGATATGTCAGCATTCCAAGTCCATAATCTATCTATGTATATATAATAGTTGAAAGGAAGTAGACCAGGAGGCAGGCAGTGGAGACATGATATACATTCAGACCTACAAATACTTGGAATCATCAAGTGGAAAGAGAGGTCCGATCAAGGAGATGGATAGAGACAGGTGACCTCAAGGGCTCAGAACGCTGGACAAGAAGACATTCTTGTTTTAGGGAAGCCATGACAGTGAAGGCTAGATGCTGCCCCAAAGATTTTGTATCCAAGCAGTTATTTATACATGGCTAGGCCTCTGAGACAAACTGGGGTACCAGCCCTGCAAGGTAAAGCCTGTCAGAGTGAATCAACAGTAGACATAACAAGACAAACTAACAGCCATGCCGACAAGAAAAATCTAAATTAATCCTAATAAGGTAAATTTACAATGATACATATAAGACAATTCTACACCTATCCAAACAAGACAAAGTTTCAGCCACCCTGACAAGATAAACTGTTAGCAACCCTGACAAGATAAATTGTTAGCCACCCTGATAAGAATAATTGTTAGTCACCCTGACAAGATAAACAAACTGTTAGCCACCCTGACAAGATTAACTGTTAGCCACCCTGACAAGATTAACTGTCAGCCACCCTGACAAGATAAATTGTTAGCCACCCTGACAAGATAAACTGTTAGCCACCCTGACAAGATTAACTGTCAGCCACCCTGACAAGATAAATTGTTAGCCACCCTGACAAGATTAACTGTCAGCCACCCTGACAAGATAAACTGTTAGCCACCTTGACAAGATAAACAAACTGTTAGCCACCCTGACAAGATAAACAAACTGTTAGCCACCCTGACAAGATAAATTGTCTGCCATCCCGACAAGATAAATAAACTGTTAGCCACCCTGACAAGATTAACTGTTAGCAACCCTGACAAGATTAACTGTCAGCCACCCTGACAAGATAAATTGTTAGCCACCTTGACAAAATAAATTTGTTAGCCACCCTGACAAAATAAATTGTTAGCCACCCTGACAAGATAAATTGTTAGTCACCCTGACAAGTACCCTAACAATTTCAAGGGTCTTAAGCATATTTTAATCAAAACGAAGATGATGGTCTACCAAGTCAGATTTTGCCTTTTGTTCATAAGTAAATCAAGTCAGATTAAATTTTTTCACGAGCTTTACCCCATTTGTGCTTTTTCATAATGCAATAAAAGCACATATTTCTCTTTTGTAATGTCATTTGCTTTCGTTTGCAGATGAAAGCTCCTTAGTTTGTTTCCGATCCTACATTAAATTAAAATTCTCTTCCGGTTTGTGACCATAGTTTAAAAAAACACTGATCCACTATACTTTTCTTTCACTACCATTTTACAGTAGCATGGCTGTGGCCATAAATCTGTTTTTAAAAAAACAATTACATAAAATGGAAACTACAGATGCTAATGAATTTAGAAAATACTAGGCAGACTGAAGAAATCATGCGAGTTCTAGAGCCCCATTTTCAGGAGAAAAATAACAGATCCACTGCCCTAATTAGGAGTTTCCTGAAATAGGAGGTGTCTGGATGAAAGGCCAAGTATTGCAGCCTGGCTGTAAACCATAACATAATGTGCCAACTGCCAATATAAGGACTAACACAGAAGAAGGAGAGGTTGACAAAGAAAGAAAATTATGAACACGGCTGAGAGGCACCAAGGGCAAAAATCTGTAAAACTGTTCAACTGACACCCCCCCCCCCCCCACATTGCTATAAAAGACACTATTTACATGTGCCACTTAGAATGGCATATAATGATGTTTGTATAACACAGTGGGAAAAGTGAGTGAACACCTGAGTTACAAAATCCTTTGCTGGAAGAAAGAGAGAGAGGACACTAAACAAAGTCACTAGAGGGAAGACAGAGAGAGGACACTTAACGAAGTCACTAGTGGGAAGACAGAGAGAGAGGGGACACTTAACAAAGTCACTAGTGGGAAGACAGAGAGAGAGGGGACACTTAAAGTCACTAGTGGGAAGACAGAGAGAGAGGGGACACTTAACAAAGTCACTAGTGGGAAGACAGAGAGAGAGGGGACACTTAACAAAGTCACTAGTGGGAAGACAGAGAGAGAGGGGACACTTAACAAAGTCACTAGTGGGAAGACAGAGAGAGAAAGGACGCTTAACAAAATCAATAGTGGGAAGATGAGAGAAAAAGGACATTAAAACAAAGCCAATAGTGGGAATATGACAGAGAGACAGGACACTTAACAAAGTCAATCCTGGCAAGACAAAGAGACAGGACACTTAACAAAATCAATAGTGGGAATATGAGAGAGAGAGAGAGAACACCTAACAAAATCGATAGTGGGAATATGAGAGAGAGACAGGACACTTAACAAAATCAATAGTGGGAATATGAGAGAGAGACAGGACACTTAACAAAATCAATAGTGGGAATATGAGAGAGAGAGAGAGAGAGAGAGAGAGAGAGAGAGAGAGAGAGAGAGAGAGAGAGAGAGAGAGAACACCTAACAAAATCAATAGTGGGAATATGAGAGAGAGAGAGAACACCTAACAAAATCAATAGTGGGAATATGAGAGAGAGAGAACACCTAACAAAATCGATAGTGGGAATATGAGAGAGAGACAGGACACAACAAAATCAATAGTGGGAATATGAGAGAGAGAGAGAGAGAGAGAGAGAGAGAGAGAGAGAGAGAGAGAGAGAGAGAGAGAGAGAGAGAGAGAGAGAGAGAGAGAGAGAGAGAGAGAGAGAGAGGACACTTAACAAAATCAATAGTGGGAATATGAGAGAGAGACAGGACACTTAACAAAGTAAATCGTGGAAATATGAGAGAGAGACAGGACACTCAACAAAATCAACAGTGGGAATATGAGAGAGAGAGAGAGAGAGAGAGAGAGAGAGAGAGAGAGAGAGAGAGAGAGAGAGAGAGAGAGAGAGAGAGAGAGAGGACACTTAACAAAATCAATAGTGGGAATATGACAGAGAGACAGGACACTTAACAAAATCAATAGTGGGAACATGAGAGAGAGAGAGAGGACACTTAACAAAATCAATAGTGGGAATATGAGAGAGAGACAGGACACTTAACAAAGTAAATCGTGGAAATATGAGAGAGAGACAGGACACTCAACAAAATCAACAGTGGGAATATGAGAGAGAGAGAGAGAGAGAGAGAGAGAGAGAGAGAGAGAGAGAGAGAGAGAGAGAGAGAGAGAGAGAGAGAGAGAGAGAGAGAGGACACTTAACAAAATCAATAGTGGGAATATGACAGAGAGACAGGACACTTAACAAAATCAATAGTGGGAACATGAGAGAGAGAGACAGGACACTTAACAAAATCAATAGTGGGAAGTTAAAAACAAAATCACTGGTGGGAAGAAGAGGGAGAGGACACTGACTCAAAATAACAGAAACGGGTGTCAGAGGCATGTGCATAATGTGCGCTTACCTTCAACAAGAGAGAAAAATTGGTTGTCTAGAAGGTAGTCCCCTCCGCAGGCTGTGCTAGACGATTCTCCTTCAACATCATCATTTCTCTCACGTGTTGCAACAAAGACTTTATACTACAGCTTTTGTGTGTCCATAAACTGTCCACTTTTCGTGGATCTACCTGTAGGTACAATTTGAACAAGTTTGCGTTATAAAGTGCTAAACCTTCAGGCTAAGTGACTCGGAGGTTATGACCTCTGCCTCACGTAGACATGGTCAAATTCATATTCTAGGGATAGTTTTATCAAATAGTGAAAGGATGACCGCCTCCATGATCTCTGAGTAGTAGACACTACTCTGCGCTGACCAGTGGTTTATCTTGTATAGCCATGCTCTTCAACCTATGGCCCGCTGACCAGTGGTTTATCTTGTATAGCCATGCTCTTTAACCCATGGCCCGCTGACCAGTGGTTTATCTTGTATAGCCATGCTCTTTAACCCATGGCCCGCTGACCAGTGGTTTATCTTGTATAGCCATGCTCTTTAACCCATGGCCCGCTGACCAGTGGTTTATCTTGTATAGTCATGCTCTTCAACCCATGGCCCGCCGACCAGTGGTTTACCTTGTATAGCCATGCGCTTCAACCAACGGCCCGCTGACCAGTGGTTTATCTTGTATTGTCATGCTCTTCAACCCATGGCCCGCTGACCAGTGGTTTATCTTGTATAGCCATGCTCTTCAACCCATGGCCCGCTGACCAGTGGTTCATCTTGTATAGCCATGCTCTTCAACCCATGGCCCGCTGACCAGTAGTTTATCTCATATAGCCATGCTCTTCAACCCATGGCCCACTGACCAGTAGTTTACCTTCTATAGCCATGCTTTTCAACTCATGGCCTGCTGACCAGTGGTCCACCAAAACATTCCACTGAATTCTGATTTAACAAATAAAATACTCCTTGCCATTGTTTTGTGTTGAGAGCTGTCATTAAATGCTTGCCTGTGGATCCAAAGGTTGTGGGCTTAAATCTGAAAAGGAGCTGGACTCCCCCCCCACCCCCTCCTTAAAAGAAACTTGGCTCCCAGGTCAATTCAGCCTTGAAAGGTAAAGTCCTGGGAAGTAAAGGTGGTCGCTGTGATGCTGACCACATCACCCACCAAGTGCTGATAGGTTTATTAAATATTTGTCTAGCACTAAATGTTCAATAAGCCTAAGGTGTGGAAAAAGGTCCTTCTTCTTCAATCCTTCTGTCAGAAAAACTTATATCAGGAAGTTATGAAAACTATTGTGCAGTCCATATCCTCTCGTGTACCATACAGTTTTGTCTTCACTGTGGTTGGACCAGGCAAGATTGTGTCTCTGTTGTAAGCATACAGTTGACAGTGCTGAAGCACATGCTCAGCATTTTCGGGTGCCATGCTGCAGGGGCACGACTCTGTGTTCCCTATACCGAAAAATGTGAACATTTGTTGACTAAATCTGTTGTGCCCAGTCCTTAGTTTGAATATAATACAATGTCCCTCTCTAGAGAGGCAATGAAGCTAGTCTTCGGGAGAGAATCTGGTATGTGTATCCAGCCACCTTTCTTGGATACTAGATTGTATTAATGTTTTCATCTCTTGGTGGGTTAAGTCACTATTTGGTTGTACCTTGTCATTGCCGCTTCTGGCCAATCTGTCCGCTATTTCATTGCCTTCCAAGCCAGTGACCTGGAATCCGCTGCAGTACAGATTGTTCTACTGAACAGCCTAAGTGAATCGGCTGTTGCATCAAGTCTACAAACTGCTTTGTTAGTGTTTCTGTATTAGTCATCAGCCGGTCCACAACATATTTATCATATTTTTCTGGTACACATGTTTAAGAAGGCTGAAGAATGCTGCTGTACAAAACAGTCCCCATAAGCCTTTTGAAATGACTCTCTATGATGCTATGTCTCTGCTATACTGTTAAGTGTAAAACATCTTTCATGTCTTGTATCCATAGGCAGTGTGGTCTTTCTCATTCCCCACTCCTGAACACCATTCTCCATGATTATCTTTGCTAGACATCATGTCTTTTTTCTATCTATATCCTCTTCACGTCGCTGTTGACATATAAGGCATTCACAAATGATCTCCATTGCTGCTGGTCTGCTGCTTTTCTGCCCATGGTATCCCATGTTAGTTTACATTCCTTCATTTTCCCTTTTTTTTTTGTCCTTCTCCGGGTTTCCTTAGGTCGTCCATGTCTCCTTCTCCCATCTGCTGTCCACCGGAGAGCTGTTTTTGCCAGTGTCACAAGGCATTCTGCAAACATGTCCAAGCCATCTCCATCGTCTTACTTTGATAACATTTGCAAGTGATGCATATTCTGTTTTCCTTTCCTTCCCAGCTCTTCAAATGTGATCTTGTTTGGCCAAGCCCAAAATAATTTAATCTCCTTATTCTACTTACATGTTATGACAGGCAGATAGATTGACTGCAGCTGCAACCCTGGGTGGTAAACTGATACACAACAAACTTGGTGTCATTGGGATCAACTGAACAATGTGACAGAGCAAATAGATCAATTAGGTTTGGAGAAAATAGTGCGGCAGGGAATGACTAGAGGATCTGACCGACCCTCTACACTCTGAGGAATGGCAGAATGGACATATAAGAACCTGCTACTGGTACTTCGAGAATAAGAGCTCATCACTGGCTGCTGAAGATGAGGGCTGAGCCTATATGGGAATGCCCTAAGTATTGTGATGTCGGTTCTTTACTGAACTCGGCCCATTTTATTTATCTTAATGTCTTCTTCAATAATCTGTATTTTAAGTTAAAAAAGTAAAGACCCCTTTACACGCCCTTAGGCGCATCGGGCATATGGGAAGAGCACCCATATTTTTCAGACCAATCGGCACTCTGTGGGTAATGTGGTCAGCATTACGCCGACCGTCTTTACTTTCCCAGGACAGCCCATCCTGGTACCCATTTGAGGCTGGGTCGACCTGCGACGCCCCATACCACAATAAAAATCCACGCAATCTGTATTTTATAAGATAGTAATACTGTTCTTACTAATTTTTTTCTTCGTTCTCTTTTCTGCCCAATAAACTGTTGTACTGTTGGCATCTTTGTGGCTTTCCAGACGATATTGTTTTATGTGCTTTAGGAAGGAAGGTTTGGCAGTGGCTAGCAAAATCTGCCCATGTTAAGAAAAATCTTCAGGACTACTGTTGCCATTGCAAGTATTAAATATGCTTCTCAGACAATACATTTTATGGACTCTTATTATTTATATTCAGAGGCACACATATTCTTTGCAATTCATTTTTAAGCATCGAAGTTTAACACTTGTATGTTGCCACACCAAATTTGTATACTCTTATCTTATCGGTTTCCATCCATAAAGGTGTTAATCGGTTCAGCTTGTGCCTTATTCCTTGAAGTGATACAGTTGAGAAGTCAGACTTATGAGTAATTGCTATGACTATAACAGTGTATTTTCTTTCTTGAAAACCATGCTCTATAGTGGCTGTCTGTGGCTTTGGGGTTATAATTGCAGTTTCTTAATTTCGACAAACTGGGTTCAATTCAGTTGCAAGAAACTTGGTAGAGGGCTGATTTATAATGTTTGACAATGGTATGAGTGCCATTAAGATAGCAATGACAAATTACTGAACGTAAAACTGCCTAGTAAAACAACGTAAAGAATATGCTACTAACTTATTCTACTCTCCAGTCTTTAGAGTTTACAAAAGCATAAACTACTGTAAGCATCTGCTCTAACTACAAGGCAGAGCTCTCAGCCCTTTTGATGGCAGCGCAGTACATGAACAATCTGCAAATTACCGCAGGCAGGATAGTTTTTCTGACTGACTCACTGTCAGCTATACAGGCCCTGGAGTCCAAACCTACCGACAGCACACTACAAGGTCTAACACAGGAACTTGCTATGTTGTCAAATAAGGCAGAAATTCACTTGCAGTGGATTCCGTCTCACTGTGGCATCAAAGGCAATGAAAGCGCAGATGCTTTAGCCAAGGAAGGCAGTAACAAACCACAGACCTACCAGCCACTATCTTTTCTAGAAGTCAAAACTCTCATTAAGAGAAAATCAGAAACAGATTGGAAAACCAACACTGGTTATAACTACGGAAAAGATTTTCTGAAACACTTGAACAGAACAGACCAAGTCACAGTTTTTCGCTTACGCACTGGACACTGCAGACTCAATAAACACTCACATAAATTAGGTATGAGCCAAACAGCTCTCTGCCAGTGCCTTCGTGCTGAACAGACTCCAGAACATGTCCTGCAAGACTGTCCTCTCCTGGCGGAGCTGCGGAGCGACATATGGCAACACCCAGTAGAACTGACAACTAAGCTTTGGGGAAACCTAAGAGACCTTGAAAAGACATCCCAGTTTATGACCCACAGTGGATTATGCGCATGACCAGAGATCGCTGAAGAAGAAGAAGTAAGCATCTGTTACCATGAGGATTTGCAACTTCCCCGTGTGGGTTTCGAGACCCCATTGTGTGGGAAACAAGAATAGATCCACTGCCTACCCAAAAGCATGTCGTAAGAGTAATCTAATTGGGAGCTTCCTCTGAAGTCGGAGCACAACTGCCGGAGAGGCGAGTAGCCAACAGTCTGCATTCAAGCAAATCAGATCTGTAAAACTGATGCACATGCAACACTCAGGTTCTGGAGCAGGACTACAGTCCAGAAATGGACAAACAACCAGAAATTAATGCAGAGTGTACATTTGGTGATCGCAAAGAAGAAAAAGGAACTGCAAAATTTAAAAGCCAACTGAATCAGCTCCCACAACTGCATAAGCTTATTTAACCCTTTCGCTCCGGTGACCTAGAAAGATTTTTTAAAAGCAAAGCAGATGACCTATATTTTATGGGTGGCTTGTAGGGGGAATCAGAGCTAATCACCTTTCCAAACTTCTCTATGGTTAACCAGCCTAAGGAAGAAAGAGAGAGAGAGAGAGAGAGAGAGAGAGAGAGAGAGAGAGAGAGAGAGAGAGAGAGAGAGAGAGAGAGAGAGAGAGAGAGAGAAAGCAAGAAACACCCATTACTTACTATTCCAGTTTCTTTGTTGACACAGGTCATGTTGATGCGAGTAATGAATCTGACATCTGGAGGTTTGTGGGGATAGCTTTCTCCACACTTAACACGCAGCTGGTACATTCTATTCTCAAAACTAGTCTGAAAAAGTTAGCAAACACAACAATTAAATTAAACTCTACAGGTTAAACGATTGACAAAATCTGATATAGAAGAGTAAAATATCAGGCCTTCCCACAAACTACTAAGTCAATTCACTGTAGAGGTGTAGTGAGAGTCAAGTTAAGGACCACCACAGCACTCGGAGCATTCCCAGAAGCTCTCCAGCCAGCACAGAGTTCCAATTTTGATGGTACCAACAGAAGTCTGCCTGTATGTCTGTCTTGTCTTTCCTCTTGAGTGTTGAAAGTCGGACAGATCGCCTGGCCACTTCCTGCTACAACATTCTTTCCAGGTTATGATGATCTATTTGTGTGCTTCCACACTGTTCACTGTGGAGTGAAAAGCCCTCATCTTATAACAAACTTAACATATTTCACTCTAACATCAAATCAATACTACTGTTTTGACAACGACTAAAACAATTACTAATAAACTACCCACATTAAAAAAACAACTAGTGTCTGCAGCAGAAAAGCACCACAAATGCACAGCAAAATAACGAATGCAAAGCTTATGGTGAAAACTAAACAATTCCCCATGAATTAAGAGGTGAGCAGGTAGATCTAGTCTAAAATGTGTACAAAAGGTATGTCCTGGGAAGTAAAGGTTGCCATCATGTTTCTGAACACAGCACCTACTGAGTGCTGCAGGGTGAATAAAAATTTGAACTAGCATCATACGCCAGATGTGCCATTGGCGTAAAAATAAAATATAACAAGGTTCCATTACTTCTTCATATTCTGCATATTGAGAGAATGTCAGATGACAGAGAGGTAAAAACTGTACACACAAAGGAGATGATTGGTCGTGGACGAGGCAGACCAAGAAGACAATGGAGAGATAACAATGTCCAGAGACACCGGAAAACACTTGGTGTCACCATAATGACAGTTTAAAGATAGCCACCAGACATTTTTACATGCACCAAATAGGAGCAGAATTCTGTTATGTTTTTTTATCAGTAAGGAGAGGGTCGCTGCAGCAACTGCAACTCTAGACATGATTCAGAAGACGTGGCAGGAGAGTGAATACCTTCTAGACATTACCAGAGCTACAAATGATGCCTTATCGGAGTTAACTAAGGTAAATATAAAACTTGTTGGCTATCCTCTTTATCAAGGCCGAAAATATACCCTAACAGGGCCTCAGTCACATGTAAATTGCGGACATCTGGCGACTACCGCCACCGCCTAGAGTATCTCCCGCGCCGCTATGCACGGGGCTAAACTAGATGGCTGGGACTCACGAGCAAATCAAATGAAGGAAGCTGCAGGAGGTGCGGTAGCTGCTGCTTGTTGAATCCCAGCTATCTAGTTTAGCCCCGTTCTATGCCGCACGTAGCGGTGCGGGACTCTTGGCAGTGGCGGTAGTCGCAATTTACATGTGACTGAGGCCCTGTTAGGGTATATTTTCGGCCTTTATAATTTGGGACCGTTATTCTGAGAGTAGCCAACTTTTTGAACATTATATGATGCCACACATGCATATCCGATAAACACTTCTGTTATAACAGTTTAAGACGGACGAATCATCCAAGTGTACATATGGACTGGCATCTGAGACAATAAATCACATACTTCAAGACTGTCCCAAACACAACATATGAAGGCAAAACTTTTGGCCAAGAATTACAACAGACAGTGAAGTTCATACTAGAGACAACAATGCAGATATAGATAATCTATTTTAAGCGAACGGAAGAGAAGAAGAATAGTTCAACACCCTGTCAATGATTCTTGATGATCCTTCAGATGTCAAAGGCAGGATTTACATAATTCGCTGGTGTGTATATAACAGACAAGCAACCATTACCTTAGGGGGTCCAATTATGACACACTGCCATTCAGTCATTGTCATGTCCTCATCATCAAGCAATCCCCAACTGATGGTGCCATCACCGACACCTTTCTGACCAGCCTCAAGCTCATCAAGTAGGGTGAAATTTCTTGGAACGACTACAGCAGAAACACACAAACAGTAGTCATGAGCATCTCTATCATCATATCAAGAAGTTTGTTGCTGCTCTTGTTGAGCACACACATTCAGTGCATTTATGAACAGAAGCATCAATATTGTGCCTTTACACTGAAGGTCATATATAAACTTATGCAACCAGGGAAAATCTCTTGGAACAACAGCAGCAGAAACACACAAACAGTAAACCCACACATATTTTTTTTAAAAGTGGTTTTTAAATGCCTTGACATCAACCTTCTTTCTTGGGATCCCCCACCTATCTTTATACGTTAAACAGCTGTAAACTCAGGCAGAAAGTTCTAGTTGTTAATCCATTTCTGGACTTTTGGCCTGTTCTAGAACTTGAGTTTTTCATGCATACCAATTTTACAGATCTGGCTTTCTTTTTTTTTTCTTTTTGTAATTCACATAAATAGAGGGGAATCCTTCAGGCCGTAGAAATTTTATATATATATATATATATATATATATATATATATATATATATATATATATATATATATATATATATATATATATATATATATATATATATATATATATATAAAATTAACGAACAGATAATGTACTGATCCATACTCAAAGAAAAAATTAGTAAAGGGTAGAAAGAGGTAGAAGAATACTGAATTACTGAATAAGGAATCGACATCACAGCACTCCCATAAGTGCTCAGTCCCCCATCTTCAGCAGCAAGCGAAGAGTTCCGATTCCGATGATACCAGTAACCGTCTGATTGTATATCCGTCTCATCCTTCCCTTGCGTGTTGAGCGAGGGACAGGTCCACTGGTAACTTCTTTCAGCGCTATTCTCCTCAGACCGTAATGATCCCAAAGAGCCCTCACAATATCTAACTTGTCATACATTAATTCACCATCAAGTGGTGCACAGCCAGCCAGTCAATCTGCCTGCTCATTTCCCAACACACCGGGACCTCTGAGGGTGAAGTAGAAAGGAGTAAATAGAAGGCTGGTTCCTTGCCTTTCAGGCGGATGCCCTCTGGCTTGGGAAAGGAAACACTCCTAATTAGTAAACTTTTACGATATGCTTGTCAGGTGGTCTATTATTTTTCCCCAACCAAATAGGGCCTCAGAACCCATACTGGAAGTCCTGTTGTCTGATGTTTTTACATTTTTCCCTTCTCTTGACATGCCCTAAAAATGTGGACTATGTTCTGCTGATGTGAATAATCAATGTTCTTTATTTTTTTTTAAATTTTATTTCATGACATCCTCTAGTTCCTGCCGGTTGAGGCTCTTTTTTGGGGTCAAATGACCCTTTCACAGGGGTCGCCTGTCCATTAGAAAACACATATTCATTGAAGGTAAAAAGGAAAACAATTGTTTGGGGGTCGCCACAACATAAGGGAACTGTATTAAAGGGTCGCGGCATTAGGAAAATTGAGAGCCACTGCTCTAGTTATCTGTCCATGTTTCCATCATTCTTCTACAAAAAAAACATCTCTGTAGCTTCCACACAATTTCTCATTAATCTGCTGATTGTGCAGGATTCGCTTCTGCTACATCAGAACTGGCTTTAAACAGCAGATGTTGAGAAATCTTTTCTCATTTCAATTCACGAAGATATAACAATATCCCTCAGTCTGCGGAATGTTCCTTTTACCCTTGGGCGATTCTACATTTTATTTCTTTACTCCTTCGGTCCCATATAGTGTTGAATTCAATACTAACATTTTTGTATCCTAGAGCAACAACTGTTTAGTCTTAGAAAGCTCAAATATATAATTTTGGTAGAGGTGTTATAATAACTAGAAAATAAAGGGCTAATGTAAGACAAGAATGGGATAGGGAAAGTAAATAAATGTGTAATGTTAACAATTGAACATATGATGAGTTCCTTGAATACCGAAACTTATTAAATCATCTACCTGGAATTATTAGGAAACTCAAATATTTGAACACATTGATTTGCTTCAGACTAGTCTGATGTTGCATTTTAGAGAACATTGTAATCTTGGCAGTGACTACAACTACTATTTTGCTACTGCCAAAAGGTGTTTTGTGTAGTTGTTCCCCCTCCCCCTTCCTCCTCCTTTTTTTCAATTCTAGACTGAAAGAGTTCAAGTCTAATATGCAACTGTTTACACAGAAACAGTAAAACACATCCCTTGAGACCACTGAAACAGCATGATAAACAAATTAAGATGTATTAGTTGGAATAAGATGGCATTCTTGGGTGCAGAGAAAAGAAGTAGAGATATAAATCAAGATAGCTAGTACATAATAAACTTTAAAAAAATAATTTCAAAGAAATATATTGATAACCAGGCTATCCTCTGAATAACATCCCAAATTATCGAGGCTAAAAAAATACCCTAACAGGGCCTCAATGTTTATGACAGTGCCGCCAAGAAACTGCGCTAAATATTCAGTAAACAGCACGCTACTAGTGCCGCCGTGGTAACGTCGCATCCGTTCCATCCATAACCCTTCAATCGATAGTGTCGCAGTTCCACTGTTGTGACAGATTCTGGTGGCAGTGTTGTAATTGTAATACTCCGTGCCCTAACCCTAAACCTAGGACCCAGGGCAGAAGCTAAACCTAGGACCCAGGGTAGAAGCTTAACCTAGGACCCAGGAGAGAAGCTAAACCAGGGCCCAGGGGAGAAGCTAAACCTAGGACCCTGGAGAGAAGCTAAACCTAGGACCCAAGGGAGAAGCTTAACCTAGGACCCAGGGGAGAAGCTAAACCAGGGCCCAGGGGAGAAGCTAAACCTAGGACCCAGGGGAGATGCTAAACCAGGGCCCAGGGGAGAAGCTAAACCTAGGACCCAGGGGAGAAGCTAAACCTAGGACACAGAGGAGAAGCTAAACCTAGGACCCAGGGGAGAAGCTAAACCTAGGACACAGGGGAGAAGCTAAACCTAGGACCCAGGGGAGAAGCTAAGCCTAGGACCCAGGGGAGAAGTTAAACCTAGGACACAGGGGAGAAGCTAAACTTAGCGCTCAGTTTTGTAGCTGTTGACACCCTCAATGATTTGGGACCGTTATTCAGAGTTTTTTCCGCCATATGCGGTATATTTGCCAGAAATAAGCCAGCGATTTACATATGATTGAGGCTCTGTTAGGGTATTTTCTTAGCCTTGATAATTTGACCATTATTCGGAGTATAGCTGATGAGCAATGTCATGCGTATTGCATTGTTGATACTGACGATACTGACTGGCATTCCTGGATGCAAAACAAAGTAGAAAGGGTATGACAAACTAAATGACCTAGAAATTAAAAGTATAGCCTATATCTTTCTATACGAATGTACTATGTACTATTTGACGGTGCCACAACTATCTGTATTGTATTATTGGTATTGAGGTATTCTTATCTCCTACACTGTGTGACTTCTTGATGATGCGCCTCTTTGTCTTTTACAACAATCGCTTGTCTTAATTGTGCAAAAAGTTAATATATATAGTGGTAAAACACAAAAAAAGAATTAAATAACATAGCTCATAAAAGATTGCAATAACCTGAAAAATTAAAAAAACCGATAAGTATAAGCTTCTATTTTTATATACATATATATATTACAGTGGACAACCACAAGACAAGTCACGGAATTTGCTGCCTCCTGTCCCGGCCAGGACCGCAAGACCCGTGACAAACTTCTGCCTCCAAATCAACTGTTAATGTTTTATAATACAAAGCTCGCGGCGATTGAAATAGCATTACAACGATTAAGACGTCATGCATACAAGATACAAGTGTATTAATTAAAGGCAGGCCATTGACTATGGCTGTGAGATTTTCCCCCTTACCAACTCCTGATCCCTGAGAGGCACCCGCCATGTTGTATCATGCATTTACTGCAGTACTGCTCAAACTTCAATTTATTACAAATGTCTATTGGCCCGGAATTTGGAGAGCACGTATTTTTCCTTTAGTGACATCGGATGTGAGTTGTAGACTATCTCATAATCATTAAAGAAGAAAATAGGGGCTTTTGAGCTGAATTGCTAACAAATGATTCTTCGAACACCATGGACAAAGAACAAAAGAAATATTGACATTATTTCCAACACACAATGTCAGATATAAGGCGGGAGAGGTCAGAGGCAGAGGGTTAACATTATTTGCCGTCCTTTTTAGGATGCAATTTTTCATTGTTTGAAGCCCCACCCTGGCTCTTGACAGGGGCCGCAATATAGTCACGCCATAAATATGGCCAATTGACTGAACGCGGTTTCTGAGACCTCTCCACGGTTATCCTCATCCACGTGGTGGCACATGTGTCATCGGGTGTTTATCGCTTGTGTGATATCCTGATGGAGTAGAAAGTCAGTCAGAGACAGAGGCAGAGGGATTGAGTTTCTTTCAGGCAGGCTGTGATTGGAGCGATGGTCTGTAAAGAATCTGATACATATTTATTATGATGATGATTGGACCAGAATTATCCAAGGATGAGGAAATGTAGCCTGAAAACTTAATGTTAGGACATGGTGTAGATGTTCTAAAAAGACTAGGAATAAAATTAGGGCTACTGAGGAAAATAAAAAAGACACACGATGATACTTCGACCATATTCTAAAAGATAAGACTTATAAATGTTGAAAGCTGAGTGTTGAATTAAGAATCGACATCATAGTACTCGGGACACTCCCATAAGTGCTTAGTCCCCATCTTCAGCAGCAAGCGATGAGTTCCAGTTTCGATGGTACCAGCAACCGTCTGATTGTATATCCGTCTCATCCTTCCCCTGAGTGTTGAGCGTCGGCCAAACTCATAAAAACCATAATAGAGGAATTAAAGGCTACAAAATAGTGATACACGTGGGAAGGTGGATAGCGTCAAGAGATTACAGAACAGCAGTCAGAGAACGTGTACATCTAAGGTGAAAAACAGAGCGTGATTGACATACATAGCAGTCAACTTGAATTATAAATTGATTGGTGGCAGGACGTTGATTGTCAACTGATCTAGGAAAGAAGCTCCGACAGGAAGCTTAGTTTCAAGGCAGGCCGGGAGGGGTCGCCTTGCATGGTCAACACATGACCTCTGAAAACTATACCGCCCAGCCATTGTGCTGTGTGGTCTTGAAGGAGAGGGACTTTTTCAGAAATGACCTTGACTCCCAGAAATAATAAGTCTGTATTTAGCTGCTGGAGCGTGATGACATCAAAAACCAACCTCTCCATTACAGGACCTCTCTGCCTAGCACTCCGACAGTTCCAGTACCCTACTCTTACATGATTAAAGCTCAATCTCTCCGCTTTTCGTCTTGTTCTCCTAGCACCTGCCCTCCTATTTCTATGCCTTCTCTCCCCATTCCCTCGTCGTCTCCTCCTCACACTCTTTTCACTAGCTGCGGAATAATGTGTCAAGCGTAGATCTGTAGCTCCGGCGACGATTCCTATGTATATTTTTAAAATCCATACGAAAAAAAGAGTACTGCAGGAAATGACCAGTCACCCTAGTATTGCCTGCCTGCTAGGGAAGGGGCAAAGGATGTCCCATAGGAATCCATACGCCTGGTGCCGCCCCGCACGCCCGCCAGACGTCCAACGTTCACGACCAGCTCCCCCGTGGCCATCCAGTTCCTCAGCATGTTGGCCCACCTTAAACGTGGGGGTTTAAATTCGGAGTTTGCCGTCTCCTAGATGGACTGCTGTCCAAAGCTAATGGGTTCCATCTGCCCGGGGAAAAGAGTTTTAGCGCCCTGAAGTGAAGTAAAATATATATACGTTTTCCGTGGCTTTAATTGCCGCGCCATGGGCTGCGATTCCATTGCCCCCCCCCCCTCTTTCCCCATAACACAGTATGGTAGTGATTTCCAAATTGTGCGCCACGGCGCCCCGGGGAACCGCGACCTCTTCACAGGGGCACCGCGAAATATTCGAAAATACACGAGTTCCCCCCCCCCCCCCCCCAAATCTCTTACATACGAATAGTCATACGTTTACTTAGGTAAGGGTGCCGTTGAGTGGACAAATTGTAATTGAAAAAGGCGCCGCGACTAAGAACAGTTTGGGAAACACTGCAGTATGGTATTGTCTTGAAAAACGAAAAATGACAAATACTGGTCCAGGTATCGGAGCAGCAAGAAAGACTATATGGTTCCATTTGTAGGTACTAGGCCTATTCTTTTATTTAACTCCGAGGCTTGGTAGGGAGTTCCCCGGACAGTCCTATATTATAGGGGGGTAGAGTTGGTTTCCTCCTCTTCTTTAATTCGCCATAAATATATATATATTATATATATATATATTTAAAATATATATATACATATATATATATATATATATATATATATATATATATATATATATATATATATATATATATATATATATCTGCAATGTTGTCTCTGGTATTAACTTAACTGTCTTGTGTAATTCACTCAGCAACGCGTAAAGTTCGGCTTTAACCGGTGTTTCTTTTAGCCAGAACTTAGAGACTGGGATGTGAATTGGGGATATTTGAAAAGGACTGACAGTCGCCATGCACGCAAACTGGTGGGTTAGGATTAGATGCAGCAATGCCGACAGGTCAATGAAATTTATGGCAAGGGTACGAAGTAGGAACAGCGCATCCAAACAGGGCGTTGTAATGGCGACGAACGAACGAAAGTAACTCACCTTAAATGATAAAGCAATAAACGACGAAAACGATGAGAACAGCCAACACATGACACGCCTATAAAATATAAGTTTTGTGTTTTATGGTTAGTGTTAAAGGAACACCGACCAACACTAAACCTAACTCCCCTATAATGTAGGGCTGTCCCGGGAACTCCCTATGAATTCCCTACGAAATCTCGGAGTCCCCGAGATGGGTGAAATAAAATAATAGTACCTATTTGTGAATTGTCAATTAGGTCCTCACTTTCTTATCATCATCATCCTCTACTGCCGTCTCCACAGTGTAAGCTCATCGCTAACAGTTCTCCAACACTTTATGTCCTGAACTTTTAGTCTACATTTTGCAAGGCTGTATCCCGACTTCACATGATGAATAAAGGCAATAAAGCAACTCTTGGGGTGACCGGTCTTGGGGTGACCCGTTTGCTATCAAGTTGGAACGTATTACTGTCGTCTGGTTGGGTTTCTGCAGATTCTACAGCTGTGGTGAGTTATCTGATCTTTAAGTAGTTCATCGATAGATCATCCTCATCGCACATCAAATAAGTCCATAATCGCTCGGATTCCAGCCTCAGGGGCGCTCCTTCAGCGTGTGGCGATTGATAATACCAGTTATGTATTGATTTACTATTATTCCTTATCTACCTGTATAGTGTTCTTTTCTGGTAACACGTTTTTCGACGTAATGTTTTTCTGGTCTTGTCAAGGCTACCAATTCATCGCCATCTCCTGAATCATCTATGCTACCCCTCCTGTCTTCTTAGAAGCACTGAGAAGATCGGCCCCGTCCATTGCTTTTCATGTGCCTACTGTGGCCCTGCCAGCAGGCCATTCCTCTCATTTATTCCCTCGTGTGTCCGGGCGCTGAAACTGATTCTTGTCAGACGAGATTTCCACAGAGACTCCAACCATTTTCTTCGAACCCATCCTGTCTCGATCTTCTTAAGCATGATGAATGGAATCAGAAAACACGCATGGGGGACAATCCGTGTCTCTAGCTAGGTTTTTGTGTGTGTGGTTACCATCACCTCCCCATTTTCAGACTACTTGTAGCCAAGGCAAAAGCATCACCGTTTGCCTTTACATTTCTTCCTCCAACCAGAACCGTGAATGCTCGTGTTCCAAGTGCCAGAAAGCTGATGATCTAAATATCTTACTAATGCATGTATGATCAATCTGATTTAATATTTGGCCTTCTAGTGATCCAACATTTGCTATATGTATACTTTCTATGGAAAGATACTACTCCCTGTAACATGATACAGTATGCAAAATTGTGTGCATCAGTCGGCATTAACTCATTACCTCATATTTTCCAACAATCTCTTGGAAACATGCATTAGCATTTCTTATCTTGAATTCCCCCTGGTCTCTGGGTAGTGAGATCAGAGGGCCGTGTGCATTGTTGCGCCTAACGGCGCTGCCCGGGCAAAGTTTAGAGTTAAAAATATACCCAAAGTATTTCAGGATCCTGATGATCCTTACCTGTGCACTGTGCTGAGCTTCTTCAGACTCAGATTTGAGTGAGAAGAAGAACGGAGAACTTATGGGTTACTCCTGTGTGCCATGATGTTGATCAAAACCTCAAACCTCTTCTTCACATTCACCAGCTGTAAACTCTGACAAAAAGTTATAGTTGTTCGTCCACTTCTGGACTTTGGTGCTGTTTCGGAAGGTGAATTCCTTGTGCTCATTCATTTTACAAATCTGCCTTATCTGAACATAAACTGTTGGTTCCTAAACTTTCAGGCAGATGCATTCCTTCTTCTTCTTTCATTGCTTGAAATAGATTATCTATATCTGCAATGTTGGCTCTAGTATGAACTTCAGTGTATTTTGTGATTCACCCAGCAACCCGTAAAGTTTGACTTGCACCGATGTTTCTCTTGGCCAAAAGTTCTGCCTTAATATGTTGCAACTTTGAAGGAAACCCCCAATTTGTTGACTCTTACAAGCTTATTAGGTCTTTTGCACTATGACACATTGGTGGGTTATGGTACCATTATTCTTTGCCTCCTGTAAGATCCCCAGTAACATATGCTGAGACCAAGTTTGCTACTGCCCTAGATTTAGCGTGACTGTCACTGACTGTTTTGCAATTTAAAAATAAAAAAGTAAAGAACCTGTTTACAGATAAGCTTATATGTCAGTTTTTAGCTGCAAATTTCGGTGAAGTTTCTTGGTTAATAATAAAACTAAGGCTGGCATCTT